GTTTGTAAAATAGTGTTATTTTTATTGATATTCATGACAGACAAGTTTGTACAATGAAATTTTTGGTCAGGTAGTGAATGTTCATAATAAGATATAAGTAATGCATCGCTTCCAGTTTATGTTATTGTTTGTCATGAAGTAGTCAATAAGTTTAAAAATAAGCTTATCTAGTTGTACGAATTGGCAAAGGTTGGCAGAACAAAATATCTTTATAAACTTCTTTATTCAGATCATATCTTACAAACACCAAAAGATTAGCTGAGTTCACAATATCGGTGGATTCATCAGCTTGCAGTGCATAATATCAACTTGTCGTACTCAGGATAATAACTGCTGCTTATGTTTTCAACCATATTTATAATTCTACGGCGAGCTGTCTTATTTGACAGAGGCACTTATCAACCGATTTGCTTGAATTGTCCCCGATCATCACTTTCACCATTTCTTTGGCAGCAGGTTTGATAAGTGTCTCGCCAATTAGTTAAGCAGCTCCGGCCTTTGCAATTAAATATTATACCGTAAACGAGGCTCCCCGTCACACTAAACATGCTCGCCTTTTCAGCCGTGGGGGCGTTATAATGTGACGGTTAATCCCACTATTCGTTGGTAAAAGAGTAGCCCAAGAGTTGGCGGTGGGTGATGATGACTAGCTGCCTTCCCTCTAGTCTTACACTGCTAAATTAGGGACGGTTTGCGCAGATAGCTCTCGTGTAGCTTTGCGCGAAATTCAAAACAAACAATAAACGAGGCTTCAGCGGATTTGACATTATCATCCCCTGCCACACTGCGCATTACTTTCTGCGAGGCTTGAATGACCTTCCACTTTTCTTCGAAAATTCAATAGGTTACGCATGGTATTCTTTATGCTTTGTTTCAAAATGACGCTAGAGGTTGGATGGTTTCATACCAGAATTTGTGAGCGTCTCCAAACATATGACATTAAACGGAATAGGCTTACTCTCATATCGTATCGCTGTATCGCCACACCTTTAGATTTTGATTAAATATTGCTATTTCTTTGTTAAAGGGTTTGTATTAATTTATGTATCCCATAGTTAAAGGGTAATTATACATCGAATTTTTCTATCTTTGCTTAAGGGTTGTGGCATCTGTGAGATGTGTTTGGAAACCAGAAAGGGTTAATGCAATTCTCGACCAGCGCAATTTTAAAGTTAATTGTCAGGATGGGACAAGCCTAAGGTATAGAAGACATGAAAAATGTAGTTTAGGAATATACCACGATTTATCTCGTTTTGTTCAGATTCTTTATTTCATTGAGCAAAGTCTGAGTTAATAAGCACTTTTACTGTTACTCCCTGATTCCATATCTTGAACGAGTCTCCTCTTTAAAGGACTTGTTCAGTAGATCTCTAACGTTAATTAAATTCACAAGAACGTTAGAATGATTGAGTCTGGTTAAGATCGTGTATTAGCTAATCTAACAAACTATTGACGCTTAATACCTTATTGCCTCTCCAGTGGCTCAGCAATATGTAGGTGGACTTAAACCTAAAAACAAGTTTCGATACTCGTGGTGGGCGCAGCACAGATAGCCCATTGTGTAGCTTTGTTTTTAACCAAAACAAATAATACTCTTTTTATTGTCCCAAAACTAATTTATTTGTACTGAAAACTCTGCGGCAGATTAAAATATTGGCCCTTGTGTTGTTGTGTGTATTTATTTATTTCCTTAAATAGTCTGTTCTAAACTGAAGTACTCGTCCCCTGCACGGAAGTTATGTAAATTAATGATTAATGAAAGGTTATCTTAGGTTTGGTTTGAATTTCGCGCAAAGCTACACGAGGGCTACCTGCGTTACCGTCCCTAATTTAGCAGTGAAAGACTAGAGGGAAGGCAGCTAGACATCACCACCCACTGCCAATTCTTGGGCTACTCTTTTACCAATGAATAGTGGGATTAATGGTAACTTAATAACGCTCCCACGGCTGAAAGGGCAAACATGTTTGGTGGGACGGAGATTCGAACCCGCGAGGGTCAGATTGCGAGTCGAGCGCACTAACCACCTTGGGAGTTGGTTATCTTGGGACATTAATAGTTGCTTCCCTTACATGTAATTATAAAAACGCCCATAATAACTGCAAAACATAAAATGTGAAACTTGCATGTATCTCCTTCATGGCAAATTTGGTGAAGATCCATCTACAGGGAGCGAAGTAGTAGTAAAAACCCGAAAACGCCCATAAAAACCGCAAAACTGAAAATATGTATGTACCCCCACATAGATCTATTGCACCTCCATATCAATTTTGGTGAAGGTCCATCCACGTCCTGCGAAGTAGTTACATGACCGACAACAGACCGTAGTATTATATTTACCCAGATATCAAAGAAGTGTACTGCATTAAGAAAACTTATATAGTTCATTTTTTCATCGTTCAAATACACATAAACATGAAAGTTGTAGTTTTCAATCTGCTAAAATTACAGAACTTCCTTGTGTACAGTGGTGCCCAACTCTAGTCGTATCGAATATTATAGTCTTCGTTTGTATGTGTTTTCTTATAGCAACGCCACATCGGGCTGTCTGCTGTGTCCATCGAGAGGAATCGAAATCCCTGATTTTAGCATTGTAAATCCCAAGACTTACTGCTGTCCCACCGGAGGACATACTCTTCGTTATCGAATCATCTTTAACCAATGATAAAACAAATACAAACTGTGATGTGGCAAGTAGCTTGTTTCTTTTTCACTACATGCGTGCAATTCAATAAAATTACTCACAAAAGCAACCAAGCGAATGTCACGCAAATAACTTATAATCAAATTACGTTTGGTCAGTACAAGGCGGTGTTATACCACAATAATCATAAGACAAACACACATTTTTCATTGAATAATGAACATATTATTTTCAAGAAAGAACGGCGCATGCGCAATTTCGATAAACGTTGATAGAGGATAATTGTACGGGAGTAGGAGTAGGATTCGTAGGAGTTTGGCTCGTAATTTATATAGGATAATATTAATTATAAGGAAAGCTGCAATATTTTATGGTCTTGTTTCTTTAAATATTCATTTTAAAGCATTTGCTTATTAGTTGGTTTAATTATCTATAAAGTATTTTATGCGTAATGCCTAAATTAGAGCAAGTTTTGCATCTGGAACCTAATTCAGAGTTGCATTTTAAAGGTAAACTGCAATAACCTAGCTACAAGTACTACTAAAAAATAGTAGACATGTAACTTTTAGTGCAAAAACTAACACCATTTTTATACGTAAGTTATAATACATCAATTTGAATATTACTATAAGGCGCTGTGTATAATATTTTCACACAAATTTGGTTGAGTACGCTAAGTGTTAAGACTAATTGAATTTAAAAGCCGCATCCTTCCGAGAGGTGGTCGTATTCATAATGTCATAAGACCTGTGTATTGAGATTTGATTTCTTTAGTTTAATTTGAAAGTAATAACACTTTCAAAATACCACCAGTATTACATTAGAATATAAAGTAGTGTAGTTTTGATACACCAATTGCTGGTGCTTGCTAAACACAGTTTAGACTTTAGTGTAAAGTGAGGTGAAGAGAACTTAGTGATACTGATACAACTGTTTTTCTTATTGCAGTCCAATACCAGCAGGTTTGGAAGGATATTACCTTAAAGTTAAACATACTGTTAAATATATCAAATAACTCTTGAAGTGATGACTGGGGTATCATAAATATATCTAGATGAATGAAAAAAAAATGGCTGAAAATAGAATAATATGATGAAAGGACTGTAAATTATGATTAAGATGCAACTCAATTTAAATATCAAGAATGTAAAGTTACTTTTTGGGAACTTTAAATTTTGGTTAAATTGGATTTATATTTTTTGAATACACACACACACTTGTTCAATAATTAATTATGAATGTCATGTATATAACAACTTGACCATGTTATAGAAATCTGGAAAGATTGTTCTTGTTTTAAAAAAAATGCGTTAATGTGGAGAAAAAAAAGACAGATTTAGAATTTGGATATCTTCTTAGTGATGTTTTCAAATTTGCTGATTATATTAAGATGCTGGGAAGATGTGATTTTAATGAAAATGTTTGTGCTATTCACCAGTACTTTGATTGTCTTAATAATTGAGCCAGAAGGTGGAGAGTGAGTTTTAATACTGATAAGTGTGAAGTTATACACTTGGGACTTGGAGGTTTGGAAAGGACCTACTTATTGTATGAGAGGAGAATTTGTGTTATGGTAAAAACAGGAGGATTTAGGTACAACTGTTGATATAACTCAGAAAGTCTCCTGCTGAGTGTTTAACTGTGGTGAAGGGAGCAAATATGAATTATTGGCTGTTTTTATGGGAATTTTGAAATTAAAAGCAATAAGGCTATTGTAATTTTATATAAGACTAGTGATGCTTCATCTGGATTACTTTATGCAGTTTTATAAGATCCCTAACATTTTGGAGGTAAGCTGCTAGATTGAAACATCAGCTTAATTCTCACAAATGCATGAGAACTAGAAGAGACCTGATTCAGATGTGCAAAATTGTTTGGGTTTTGGCCAGTTTTGTTATGGGTGGTCTGTGTGAGTTGTGAAATGTAATGTTGGTAATAGAAACTTGTGTATTAAAGGTACTCAATATAAACTTTAATAATTTACTTATTGTTTTAAATTTGTGATCTATCTAGTTAGTTTTCTTTAGTCAGTAGTTATTAATAACTAGTATTTACTATTTTGAGGTATATTCAGTTATAAATTATTTATTACCTGTAATATAATTAATATAAGTTTCTTGCACTGTATTCCATTTCATATTTCTTGAATTAATTTTTTTTTATAAAAGGAATATGTCAATACTGTCAGAGGGCATCACACCTATTCTCTTACAGAATTAGTGAAACTGATTAAAACCTAACATCTTGATTGTTTATTGGATTTGTAATTCCATACATTGACATTATTTAATTGATTCAAGCAGTATCAAAACTCATAAAATTGGATACTTAGGCAGTAGATAATATTTTCTTTTTATCTGTAATTTTCTTTCATTATTTCACTCTATTTGCTCTGATCACTGGTAATTTTGTTATTGGCGCAAAAAAATATTTTAGGTAGATTTTTTAAAATTAAACAAATATTTCATTGTATACAACTGTATACAACTTTGAGAGCATACTTAGTGTTTTGGTCCACTAGAACACCACAAAACATGACATTTTTGGTGGTACAGTATTAGTGTAATTGTAATGCACTAGGAAATAAGATTTAATCCTCAATAGCTGTGGTACTTAATTCTTTTAGGCAGGGTTAGAGTAAATTAATCTATGAGTCCGTTTTGGTTTTTTATTAGCTATATTTTTGTGCAATAGCAAGCATGTGATGCGTGTATATCCGATTTGATTTTATTACTCATCCGGATCTCTACCAGCCTATCTTCAAATTGAAATACTTTAAGGCAGGATTAGAGTAAATTAATCCATTAACTGCGGATGACGGATATTTCCGTCAATCGCACATATATATAACTATAACTCTATGCGAATGATGATAAATACCATTTTATTGTGATTGATGGCAACTAAGTTTTATCTGTGAGTCACAAAACAGCAACTGAGCTGCTCCTGCAGCAGTTAATGGGTTAAGCTATGAGACTTTGGGCTTGGTTAAATACATCAGTCAAAAGGGTTTGACCTCCTCAGTCCAAAAATGTATTTAGATCTCAAATTGGTCAAGAGATAACAGAGCAATGACCTAAGAGTTTGTACTTGAAAAATAATTCTGATCCATTCTATAAAAATACAATTGACTGCTAGTGGTTGTATAATTACTTATTATAGCAATATTTTGAAGGGATCTAACAAATAGCTATCAACTATCTCAGTTCACTAGTGAGTAGGTAGTTTTTAGCTAACGTGGAACTCAGACTAGTTATATATTTTCCATTTTTCCTCTCCATTAATATTTCCTGTAAGATCTAATAAATTTTTCTGATCCATAATACCATATTTTCAAATAAAGTTGATACTGTATGCTTAATTTTTACTTTAGGAAGTTTTGAAAAAAATAGGTCGTTTGAAGCCCAAGATTAGAAAAATGAAGTTCTTTTATGAAAAATGATTTTTTTTTGTCACAGGACCTTTCACAGATGTTGTCACTTCACATTTAAAGCTGTACAACCCATCAGAACACCGAGTATGCTTCAAAGTAAAAACAACAGCTCCAAAGAGATACTGTGTGCGACCAAACAGTGGATTTATAGAACCAAAACAAACTCTGCATGTAGCAGGTAATAATCCACTTATTTTTTTAATGAAGGACAGACAATTTAGATTTTATTGTTATTTGTAATTGCTTTTTTTTAAACCATGTAAAATGTAGCATTATAATATTAGAAAGAACAGGTGACATAGGAACATTTGCCTTATTGATGTCACTTTCACCTACTAAATAAGCAAATAGAAAAATCAAAATCAAAATTGATTACAAAAGAAATATTGTGAAATCAAATTATAGTTTCCAAAATTTATCTTATTTTGGCAACATATAGAGATTAAATTCAGTTATGAAATTTATGCAAAGAAAGTAGTTTTAAAAATGTATTTCTAAGAAATTAAAAATAAGAGTGAAAGAGTAGGAATTAAAAACATAACCCAATGTAAAAAAAAACCCAGCAAATTTACACTTTAATGCTAAAGTAGTCCAAGAGTTAGCAATGGGTGCAAACAGCCAGTTGCTTTCCCTCTAGTCAGCAAGAATATAATTAGTGACAGTGGTAGATAATCTTAGTGGCTTTGCTGTAACAGAAACAGGGCTAGCAATTTTGGTGGCAATGGGAATTGAACTCAAGACCCTGTAATTATGAATCATACTCTCCCTCCTCCTGAATCACAAGGCCATGCTGGCCCAAAGATAAACAAGGTTAAATAAAAAAAATTTTAACACAAAGTCTGGTTTCAGTACTCTTTGTGGGTAAACCACAGATAGCCCATTATGTAGTTTTGTGTTTATCAACAAGCATAATGGCAAAATTTTGATTACTTGTATAGTTGGAATAACCAAAAATAATAATAATTGGAAATCTTAATTTCAGTTAATTAATTTTTTTTTGTGACACTTGATTTATCTGTAATTTCAATTAATTGATTGTTGGAGTAATCTAAAACTGTAATAATTGAAACAGCTAACTTTGATTAACTGATTAGTTTCATGACAGTTGATTTGATCATAATTTTGACTAATCAGTTGGAATAATCAAAAATGATAATAATGGAAAACACTAATTTAGATATGTTGATTATACTCATGACATTAATCAATTTATTTTTAATTTCGATTAATAATATAGTTTATGTGACACTAATCCATGTAGTTCCTGCTCATAGATAGTTGATTAATTAATTGAGTCACCCTTTTCTAATTATATTCATATTTCCTATCCAAGGTCTCATTCACATAGTTTAAAGCTGGAGATTAAAGATAATTTTCTCTGTAAATATACTTAATTTTCTAAACACATTATCTTAATGGTAATAAATTTAGATAGACTATTACCAACATTAAATATTGGAATCTAAACATAGTGTAGTACTCAAGTTGATTGCTGATAATAAATCATTAAATATTTAAATTTACATTCATAAAAAATATTCTGTATCTTCATAAAAAATTATCTTATACATATATAAAGATATGTTTATTTGTCTTATCTTAAGATATTTAATAAGTTACATTTACATCTTCAGAAATTTATAAAATATTTATCTATCATAAGATTAAAAGATATAATGCACAGATAAGATCTGCAAAATTGGCATTTCTGACATGATTTTGTTACAGAACATCTAACTGTGTTAGAGGCATTATTTATATTAACTAAAAAATAATCTTTAGTATTGGTTTATATTCATTATCTAACTCATTTTTTAATGTGTTTGAGGTAATACTAAAATTTATTTCATGGTGAGTTCACTTATTATACATAATAAATAAAGAAAAAAATGCCTAAAAATTGGAGGAGATCTCATATTATTTCATTACATCTGTGTTTTCTTTACAGATTATAAATATGTGTTTCCCGAACTTTTTATTTTAAATTTATTTATTGTGTAGTCATTTTTAAAATCTTTCCACAAAGGTGTTGTAACATTTAGATAATAGAACAACTGAATGTTTTATTAGGGTTACTGTAATCTGGAACAAATGGATGTATTTTTTTTTAACTTTGTTGTGCAAAGTTTCATTGGCATACATTTTTTATTATTTAACATGAAACCAAAATTTTATTTTAAATTCCCATGAAAAACTTAAAGTATTATTGTTAATTTATCCAAAAATTATTTCAAAACAAAGTTAGCCTCAAAGCTGTTTTTAAAATTCTTAACACTTTGAAATGTTCAATCTTACATTCTATGACACCTTATTACAGTATCATCATGACATGATTGTACAATGTGTATAATTCAAGAAAAGTCTTGTAATTAAAGAAATTAATTACATGCAAGATATTTATTTAAATTTTTTACAATTATTGATAGTTATGCTTCAGCCATTTGATTATGATCCATCTGAAAAAAATAAACACAAGTTCATGGTTCAGACAATGATTGCCCCTGATGGCAATGTCAGCCTTGAAACTCTGGTATGTTCCTTTTTGTTTGAAAGTATTTTAAAATTTCATAGTGTTCTAATTTTTGCAGTTTCTTATCAGAAATTTAGAACATGAAGGTTTATATTAAAATAGAGTGTAGTACAAATTTGCAGATATATAAATTAGAAAAAGTTTCATGATCACTTCCAGCTGTTCACAGTCAGTAAATCTTCATTGTAAATCATGTTTTTGTTAGCAATGATATGAAGATTGGTTTGTCAGCTTGCTAAATCAAAACTTGCATAATTTTTTATCATATAGTTTTAACTTATTTAGGACAGTAACTGATATAATTTCACATGTACCTAGATTAATGTAAAATTATGAAATGTTTACTTAAGATTCATTATCATTTTGAACCACTGTACTGTGAAATTTAATGACCTGTGATAAATTATTTAATTCTTTCACTAATGGAAATAACATTGAAATATTAACAGTATAAATATAATGGGAACAATGACTTAATTGAATGAAGTTTAACAGTTATTACTGAACACTCAATATATCCAGATGTAGGGAGGAGAATTGACTTCCAAAGTTTTTGTTGTAAAATTGTCCACCCACCCAGTTTGTTAAAATCCAGTGAGGAAACTGTTGGGTGGGGTGGGGCTGTAGACAAGTTACTAGTTCTAGTAGGGTCAATGAGAGATTGCCCTGTCTTTTTTGATGCATATGCTATACTGAAATCAATATGTTAGGCTCCTTTGAACTGGTCAGTTGACAGACCACTGACCAATCACAATGTTTTTGAAGCTAGAGGTTTCAAAAATTTCAGAAATGCTTGAACTCCTTAAATGGAATGGTGAACAATCCAAAGGGAAGAGCATAGAGGTAGGCTTTAAATCAGTTTCCATCCATATTAATAATCTGTATGTGCTCAGAAGGTTGCGGGTTCGAATCCCTGTCCCACCAAACATGTTCACTCTTTCAGCCGTGGCGTGTTAAATAGTGGTGGTCAATTCCACTATTTGTTGGTGAAAGAGTAGCCCAAGAGTTGGTGGTGGGTGGTGATGACCAGCTGCTTTCTCTCTAGTCTTTCACTGCTAAATTAGGGATGGCTAGTGCAGATAGGCCTCGTGTAGCTTTGAGCGACATTAAAAAACAATAACAACTATATGAGCTCAGTCAATTTGACCAAACTTGAATCAGTTATCTTTTCATTTCATAGATGACCTTTTATGATGATGCAAATATTTTTTTTTCTGTTTTATGTGTCCTTTGGAAATTTTGTTAAGAGTGTTTCATATGTTTAAGTTGTAAATTTTCAAAAATGCTATTATTTATATAATCCATAAATTAGAAATTAAGAAACATATTTTTCTAATTACTTTAGTGGAAAGATGCAAACATGGAAAACCTTATGGATTCCAAGTTAAAATGTGTGTTTGATCTTCCTCCAGACAAAGCTCCTCCGGTGAGTTCCATAACCCACATCTAATTCTTTCACTGCATTAACCCTTTCCAGCCCAGTAGCATAATTCTGATACTTCTGCACTTGCATTCATAAAAATTAACTTGAAAATGAAACTATATCTGAAACACAAATGCTTCAAACATAAAGCATGCCATTGAATTTTTTTAATCTTATTTAAGTTTTTCGTGAATTTACAATTTATGATGAGATAAAAACTTAGCCATTGCATAATATGTCTGTAACTATTGACCTAAAAGCCAGTGTTATACATGCTTATTAGCAAAACACAACCAAAGCCTAATAATGATATATTTTAGTTCATTTTGTTGAAGGAAATTTTGCAATAAACTGTATTGTATATCATTAAATAGAGAGTATTTATCTTACTTATCTCATTTATAAGACTTACCTCTCTATTTCTTTTAGAAATTATGTATAGCTGTTTCAAAAAGAACCACACTAAGCTTATACTCAAAGTGAACAGTAAGATACAATTAGTTTCAAATTAGAAACAGAAGTTTTTGTAAAGTAAAAAGGAACTGCCAAAGTATTTACTTCACAAAATAAATAAACATAAGAAAGTACAATATTGTAATGTAGTTAGATTATTTAAAAGGGTGTGTTCATAAAAAGCTTCTGACATAACTAAATATATAATCCACATATGGCAGAAAGGTAGCTATACAGCAAATAGATTTCAAGAAATAAAAAAAAACTTGTTTTCTATAAATATATTCTTGATTCTGTTAGCTTTAGAAGCATGGAAGTTGCAAAGAAAATTCAGTAAATTGATTTTACAGTGTTTGACTACCAACTTCAAAAATTCACTGTTTTCAAATTGTTTAAGCTACAAGTTAGCAACAATCATGTACAAATATCATAAATTTACAGCCTTGTTTTGTATGCTGATAAGTTTGAACTGCATTGGTAAAAAATGTAACTTCCCAAAATAAAAATTACAATGTGGGTTAGGGAGCAAAAATCTAAATTAGGTTAGCAGTTTTTATCCACAAAAATGTTAATAAAATCTACATCAAAACAAAAGTATTAATCTGAATGTTTTACTCATAGTTTTAGTATGTACATAATTTGATGCAAAAGGTCAGACAGAATTTTTTAAAACATAATGATGTCAATTGATTGCATTAGAAAAAAAAAAGATACTGTGCTAGAAAGGGTTAATTCTTTGAATAATCTTCAAATATTCATGTATGAATTATTGTTTTATTACAACAGATTGGACAGTTTCATGAAAACTTTCACAGATATATTGAATTGCATTTGTATCTGTTTGGTGTAAAAACTTTTGTATGTATCAAACACAAGAAGAGTTTACAAACTCTCATTTATTTTATTCAGACAGATTTTAAAATTCAGCAGCTGGCCTATATTTGTTTGAGTGAATTATTGTACTAAAAAAAGCATTGTCTCATTAGATGTGTTCAGTTGAGTGATTTTTTTGTTGCATTCACATATCCCAGCCACTGGCAAGCCCAAACAATTTTTTTACATCCTGGGGCATGAGCTATTGGGAAACACAAATAATAATGATTCTTAACTAAAGGCTACATTATTTGCTCTCTACAATTTCAGTTATTCTTCTTAACTCTATAAACTGTGTGTTGGCCATGTAGCTTTAAAATATTCACTTTACAACACAAACATAGACTTGGCACTAGAATAGAATGTTCCAAAACTACTGTAATTAATCTGGTTTCTTAACTAGCTCTAAGTAGGGTATACAAATTCTTTTATTGCTAGGAGCAATGACTTTACTCAACACACATCGAGCTTTTCTTCTCAATTACCATATTTAATTATCAATATAAACTAACTACCTCAGGATTTCTGCCATCATAATGTGCTCTTTCTATTGGTTATAAACATTTCCATCAGACAAGCAGATGTGATGCAAGTAATTTGCTTGAATTGTATGAAGAGCAAATGTGTCGTGTGACACAGAAGAGTGAAAATTCTTTAATTTTTTCTTTTAAAATTAAGAAATTGAAATGTATATAATATTAAGTTTTGAATCCAACTCTGTAAAAGACTGTGACACGTACTTTGGCACTGCCGTACACATAAGGTTAAAGAAGAACAGTTTTGTATCAAACTTAAGAACATTCTCAATATCACCACACATCATTTGATTTCTGAAAGTTACCTTACATAATCTGTGTTATTATGTTGTATTGAATTTTTATTTTATTTTTCAGTTTGTATTACTCCCATACATTTCACCAATTTTTTTATTATACTATTTTTATTAGAAATTTTGGTCTTCTTAGAATATTTAACATTATATCTTGTTTGCTTGAGCTGTTTATCAATGGCTTAGATACAGTCCTGGAGAAAAGTATTGGCACCCTAAGCTTATTATCCCATAAAGACAGGTAACAAATTAAGTGTGTTTTTTAAACTTGTATCTCACTATATACTTTTTAAAAATACACTTTTAAAAATACTTCATTTAAAAGTACTTGTTCAAAACAAAAGTATTGACATTCCTGCTTTAATATTTCACGTGTCCTTCTTTCACTTCTATTCCAGCTTTCAGACATTTATGACAACCCCCAAACATTTCATTACATCTTTTTTGGAGAAACCTTAGCTCATTCTTTCTTGTGTATTTCCTTCAGCTCTTACAGATTAGACACACAGTGTTTGGCTATAGCTTTTTTTCAGATTAGTCCAAAGCATTTCTAATTGACTGTGAAGGCCATTCAAGAACTTCTATTTTTGATTTCTTCAAGAATTCCTGAGTTGATTTAGCCATATTCTTTGGGTTATTGTCATGTTGGAAGATAAACCTTTTGTGAATCAACATATAAGTACTGTAGGTGGCATCATTGTACTTTGTAGAATGTTTTGATACATGGCTGTATTTATTTGCTCTTCAATCACATGAATGTCTCCAGTTCTTGCACTATTAAAACATTCTTATATCATGATCAAACCACCTCTATGTTTAACTGTAGGTACAAGGTTCCACCCCCCTTTTTTTGCCAAACATAATGTGGTCCATTTTTGTGGAAGAATTCTTCAAATTAATGTGCATAGCTCTTGGTCAATTTTAGATGGTTTGTTTTATGAATTTTCTTTAAAAGTGGTGTGCTGAAAGGTCTGTGTGCATATAACTCTTCTATGTTCAGGTGTCTTTGTACGGTTTTTTCATCCACTATTATGACTGATGCTTCTAAATCTACGTCCTCGGCTGTTATCTAAATTTTTTTTTTAGCTGCTCAGATAATTCTCCTACCTGCTGTAATTTTCTTGGATGCCTGGTTCGTTTAAGTTTTTCAGTTGAATTTGTTTTGTGTTCCTTCTAGAATATTTCTCTGATTGTGGATTTTGGTACTCCATATTTCTCTGATACTGCTCTGTATACATTTCCTTTGTTGTATTCCGTTATACTTGTATTTATCAAGCATGAATCCAACTCCTTAGTTGTGACCATCATATGCATTGTTACTACAAAGTTCTCTTTCAACAGGTGTTGGCAGTCATTGCCTTTTTTACTTAAATGCAGCTTAATTGCAATGTGTATTTCACATTCTCTTTAATTATATTGAACTTAGGGTGCCAGTACTTTTGTCTGCAGCTGTATGTAAAAATCAATCTGGTGAACAGTACAGCTAAGTAAATTTACTGTTCTTACTTATGATTAGAATGTATTGTTTCATCAGTTGGGTACATTTGCTGTTAGTAATATTTTCAGCTGTAATCCTAATAATATCTTGTAGTTTGGCCTTGTTAGGAGACTTAGGTTATTTCTACATTCACACTAAGTTGTCAGTACAAAATAATGTTTGTTGTATAAATAGATATATTAAACATTAACCAATACTGTTGATGAAAGTAACTTTAGAAGAAGGAATAAAATATAACTTACACAACTTACAAAACATATACACCCTAGTAGTTAGCATCAATTTGCATTTAAAAAAGAAGAAGAAAGAAAGCTATTTATGATTGGAAACCTGTGTATGTGGAAAGCTATTCTATTTACTAAATATCCTAAAGTACTAAACATTGCTGTGTATAATTACAGAATAACCTAGATTCCAATACAGAGCATGTGGAAGACAAAACCCCATTGATTATACCACCCACTGACCCAGTACCTAAGTCCTCCCCTAAGGTAAGTCACCATGTCCTTATCTTACAATCATGTTCAAAGATATGCCTGAAGGTTGAAAATCTTTTTGGTGTAGAGTAGAAAGCCCTCTAGTATATAGCTTTAAACCAGGGTCAACAAAGAGCTTTGGAAGGGTCATTAAGAATCCAAAATATATAGTCTAACTTCTAGATATTTTCACCACATCTATACTGAGTTTATTCCACCATGTGTAGAGACTTAGTTGGGTTGTCAGGAGCTTTGAGGATTTTTCTTATCTCAAAAGGATTTACCGTATTCAGAAAGTTGAGAACACATCTATTATGTACTTAGCTATCAGTTGACTAGTTTAATCCTTATCCATAATACAGTTGTGTGAGCATTACCAGCTTCTGGTATTTATAATTAATAATACAATGATCTGTTTATCAAACAGTTTGGGTGATAGAATTTTTACAGCTTGTTATTATATAAAATATTAAATTGAAAGTTGTTTTGTAATGGACTTATAAATCTGTCAAAGCACGCAACCTTTAGAGAGACTATCTAAGAAGTAATGTTGAAAATGTAATAAAATAAATTATTTTTTGTAAGTACACAATATATTATTGAGTTTAATTTTTCATGAGCACTAATCATGTTTTTGTAAAGTTTAAAGTATACATTAGACTTGTTGGGTTATTGTTTAGTATTTATATAGCAAAAATAGTTTTGTACAGTAATTAAATTGTGACTAATTGTATTAATGTACTATCATGAATTATATTTCAAAGGTTTTATTGAAAGAAATTTTAACACTAACTGCATTTTTTGTTCTCTTCCACTGATCATTTAACCATCCATTTCAAAAATGGATAGCATTAGATACACACAGGGACTCATAAGTATTGATTGTTTATTTTGTATGGTGGGTAAATCTGTCTGATTAAGTATCAAACAGTAAGTCTTTACTCTGAGCACAGTTTTTAAATTGTAAACATTAAATTTTCTCAATTGTCATGAGCTTTGTGAAGGCTTATTAGCTTGAATATCATTCATGCTATTTGCAGTAAGGTTTTTAGGTTTTCAAAAGCAGATACATTATGATTATAAAAAGATCAAATGACCTAAGTGCTTTCGCTGAGATGGTAAACCTTTATCAGAGATATGTTGGCATTTAAATTACAAATAAAAAATTAAGTTACTTATATCTTTAGTAATGTGTTGGCAAGCTGTCTCTGTGATTGGCTCACCTTAATAACATAGATGTTATTTGATATTCAGTAGGTTTTCTTGAGGAGGTACATGCCACAAAAAAATCCTTACATTCTTTTTTTTAAAATACGCTGTTACTTCTTCATTATTTTACATCACAACATCAGCATGCATACTTTTGTTGTCATGTTTAACTAATCATAAAACAACTGGTCTTCATTATGTTACTTAAATATATATATATATATATATATATGTTTTTAATAGAATAATGTTTGCAAATGTTATTCATGCACTGCCTGACCATAATTTATTGAAACTTAATCGCATGCAAGCTACATATTGGTGTGTTGATAGTTGTTTGGTGCAAAAGATAACCAATAGTGTGCTATTACAGAAATGATGAGTTCCATGTTATTACAGGACTAAGCATGAATAACATTTACTGGATACATACTTCTGTAATAGTGTTTAATTTTTATACTGACAGACAAGAGTGTTAGTCCTGTAAAAAAATATTTCGATATACGTTTTAAATAGAACACATTCATATTGATAAATAACTGGCAGGCAATAGAATACATAACTTGATCAGCTGAGAAGTGTCAGTATGAGATTTTGTTATTCATTGAAAACTGTCTTTGTATCCAGTAGTACAGTCATAGGAACCAGAATGTATAAATAGTTTCATTGTTTGCATTCTAACAGTTTCCTAAAGATAGTTTTGCGCTTGTTTCTTTTGACAGGCGAGTAACACTGATCAAGAATTAAAGAAGTTGCAAGATGAGTGTAAGAGGTTGAAGGATGAGCTAGCTCAACTTCAGCAGGCCAATAGTAAACTCAAGGTAACTACAAGTTGTAAATCTGGAGAGAAGTTGTTGTCCAATTAATTATATAAAGTGATATTTATCTGTTAAACAATTCATGAAGCAGATTTATGTAATGAATAGCATTTCTAACAGGTGAATTATATTTTGATCAAGATTGTATTGTTGTGATTTATATATAATGTAATTTTAATAGAATACACAGTCACAGGGGAATTGTAAAAATAGTAGGAGACAAAGTTTCAAATGCAGACTAAGAAAGGTATTTAAAATAACTTTAAAAGTTTCATGTTTTGTACTTTGTTACTTAACACAAGTTTGTTTTCATTAACACAGATGTATTAACCCTTTTGAGACGGGTCACAGGTGAAAGGCCATGTCATCTCGTTTGTTGACTCGCATGTAAAATTTAATTGAACTACAATATAATGAATTTATGTCAATAACTTTGGTATCAAACTGTAGATTATAATTAAAATTTTAGTACTATATATTACTCAATTTCTTAATTTAAAGGCAAATATAAAAAAAAACAGATAAACATCGATTTCTGTGTGTCATGTGGTATGTTGAATGCAGCATTAGTTCAAATTAGATGTTTGTGAAGTCAAAATACTGGGTCTATAGTTTTGTACAAATTAGAAACTCAAATTGCCGATATTGACAAGCTATAAAATAAGGACCTCTTTTCAATTTGATAAGATATTGCTCATGTAATAAATCAAACACAGTGGCACGCCGCCCACCTCTTTCCATTTTTAGAAATGCTCCCTTATATATACTTACTTTGATATATGATATGAATAACCAATCGAAAGCTCAGAATGTCCTCCCCTAGTGGCTTTCTTAGCCATTTTAATGGTCTTGGCATCACTTCTTTTGAACCAATACTTCAACGAGGTAAGGTGTGTCTTTAGTCTGCTCGAAATTTCATATTGTTTTAGACTAAAATACATCTTAGTTACTAAACTTGTTAAATTATAGTGGAATTCTATGGTATTAATGTAGTAATTTATGATTTTTTATTTATTCAAATGTATACATAAAACCTAAAAGAAAATATTTTGTTTCATATCCTCCATGTAAATTTTTTAAAGGCTAAGCAACCTACGTTGAGTAGCAACCAAGTACAAAGGCCGTAACTAGAAGAGATAATTGTTTGCTTTACTTTAGTTACGGGCCCGGCATAGGTTAGGGCGCTCGACTCTCAATCTGAAGGTCGCAGGTTCGATTCCCGGTCCCACCAATCATGCTCGCCCATTCAGCTGTGGGGGCATTATAATGTGAAGGTCAATCCCACCATTCGTTGGTAAAAGAGTAGCCCAAAAGTTGGCAGTGGGTGGTGATGACTAGCTGCCTTCCCTATAGTCTTACGCCCCCCAGTGGCACAGTGGTATGTCTGCAGACTTACAATGCTAGAAACTGGGTTCCGATACCTGTGGTGGGCAGAGCACAGATAGCCCATTGTGTAGCTTTGTGCTTAATTGGAAACAAACAAACCTATGGTCTTAAACTGCTAAATTAGGGACAGCTAGTGCAGATGGCCCTCTTGTAGCTTTGCATGAAATTCAAAACAAACTTTTTACTGTTTTATGATGTAAGAAAAATAAGTTTAAGAACTTATTTCAAAATAGCAATACTCTATATATACATTTATAATGTAGAATAATTGAAATGTGACTGTATTTTACAAAATACTAGTATACTAAAACACAGCCAAGACAAGTTACTTTGTACCAACCAATGAAAGGGGCATAATTTATATTTATTTCCTGATTTTTTATGGTGTTGCGAGATTGGTCAAATCTACCAAACCCGTATAGAGATTAATTACTGAAAATAAGAGATAAAATATAGTTTTTTCTTAAGAAACATTTGATAACTATTTGGACATTATAAACATTTTGAATGTGAAATTTCAAAATATTCTGATGCATAAAAGTATTTTTAATCATAAAATTAATGTTACTTTGCATGATAGATAGGCAACATGCAAAAAAAAAAGAAATGAGAAAATCATTACTTTAGAAACCTTAAGACTTAATAAAAAAAATTATATTTTGCATATGAAAACATTGTAATGTTTACTGATAAAATGCTGAATTTTGTTAACATTCGCTTACTAATTTAAAAGTTATAGCATGAAAACTACACCAAGCACAAAATGGTTACGAGGTCAACCAGAGCCCGTGCTGAAAGAGTTTAAAGAAAAAAAGCCAATGCTT